CCCGCTGGTGGACGACGTCCGCAGGGCCTCGTCGCCTTTCCAGCCCTTGAGTATGTCTGTCACGTGGACCACGTCGCCCGTGGGACCGACCATTTCGCGCTACAACAACAAAGGCCGGGAGAGCGGAAAAAGAGGAAGCTCGGTTGATAGTCGATGAGGCTCGGTGGTCCCGCAAGTGCCCAGGTTGTCTACGTATTGCCAAAAAATATTGTCGCCGTCAAGACCGACAACAACAACACCCGATAGAACACAAGCTCCTTCTTCCTACACAAGCAGTGCTTGTACACAAGGTGTACGTGTACCACAAAGCTTGCCTGCGACATCCTCGATCTAGATTCCTCTCAATGGTCCCCACCGGGGCAAAAACAAATCAACCAATCAACCCTTGCGTCAGTCGACCTTGGCATCCTGCTTCTCCCCTCCGCCGACCACGACTCCGTCGTTCCCCCAGCGGCCCCGCAATTCGTCATCGTCCTCGTCGTCGTCCGACTGCTCTGTCGCATCCAGAGTAGAAGGCGAGGACGGAAGCTGGCCCCCGCTGCCGCCGTTCGTGGTAGCACTCCCCGTGCTACCGTAGCTGAAAATGCTGCTGTCGTCGAACGTATCGTCCTGTATGTACACACAAGCGACGGCAGGTGTCGGAGCAAGCGACGCAAATCAGAAAATGAGGCAAGAAGCTCTCAGTGCCAGTGACTTCGTTCTGTTGTTGTTCTGATGACGAGCACTGCTGTGTGTTGTACAACAATGTCTCGCATTTTTTGACTTTCTAGTATGTATACCATTCCGGGTATCCACACGGCTGGCTCCCTTCTCGAAGACACCAGGACAAGACAGGCAACGCCATGTACGCAACACGCCTTCCGACGTATACTACCTAGGCCAAAGACCCACGACTTTCTCCTCCCGCCCACCTCGTCCCAGTCGTCGTCGTCGTTCGGCAAGTGCTCCAGCATGGTCGGGCAGTCCTCCATGCTCAGGGGGCTCACGCCGACCAAGTACATGCACAGGTCCGTCAGCGCCGCCACCATCTGGTGCAGCCTCGTCCGTTCCGGCTGCCCGCGCAGCGTCGGGTCTACCGGCACCCTGTCCTCGGCCCTGCCGTCGCCCCCCTTCCCGCCGCCGGCGGCCGCCCCGGCGCCGCTCCCGCGGTGGCCGCTACGCCCCAAGACCTCGGCCTCCGCCTCGGCGGCCATGCTCTCCCCCCAGCCGGCGAGGCTGCTGTTGCCCCACCCCGTGCTCGAAGAGTTGTCGTCCATCATGCCACGGCTCGCGCGGCTCTTCTCGTCGCTCGTGCCGTTGCTCGAGTCCGGGGGAGACGCGGCGGAGACTCCGCCGCTGCCACCCCCAGTGCGCCTCGCCCCCCCCCCTCCCGTGGCGGCAGCGGGCGCGCCCACCGCGTCCGGGGCATGAAGCGGGTGGGGCAAGGGCGGCCGAGGGTTGGGGTTCGCCAGGTCACTCCACTGCTTGCCCTCGTCCCTCCAAGACAGCCGGTCCTCGCTGAGGGTCCGCGTTCGGACGGCGGGCCGCGTCGCCCGCAGGGAGGACTCGCGCTCTCGCCTCGTCCCGGCCGGGGCGCGCGACCGGCGCTTCCTGGCGTCCGACCGCGTCTCTCCTCCCTCGACCCGGTCCCTGCCCCGGCTACTGCCTTCCCCGTCCTGCCTCTTCTCGACAGCAAGGGCAGCAGCGGCAGCGGCGGCAGCAGCGGAGGAGGAGGAATCGAAGCGGTGCTCTCGCTCCACCCTGCGGTCGTGCCGCGCGCCCTCCTCGTTCTCCGCGCTCGCGGACCGCTCCCTCTGCTGCCGCTGGAGCGGCTTGCCAACGCCACCGCCGCCGCCGCCGCCGCCGCCCCCATCGCGCGAGTCGGCAGCGTGCGACGCCGCGGGGACGGAAAAGAACCCGTGCGCCGCCTCGACCGCCGCGTCCACTGTCGCCGGCACCCCTTTCGCCCCCCTGCCCGGCGAGTCGACGGACCGGCTTTGCCGCGTTCGCCTGTCGCGCAAGCGCGCACCCCCCCCCGGTCCCCCGTCCCTGCGATCGTTCCGGTCCAGGCCCGACCGCTGCTCCGCGGCTGACCGCGTCCCGCGCCCCCTTTCGCCCCCGGGCTCTCGGTACGTGCCACCGATGTCGGTCGCCAGCCGGCGGCCTCCCGTCTGGCCCTTGGTGATGGTCGCGGTGTCCCCGGCGTTGGTAGGGTTAGAGACGGACTGGGCAGCCCCTCCTGCCGCCACCGCGGCCGCTGCGGTGCTCAACTCCCTGCCGTTTGTGGCCGAAGCACTCGGGTGGCCACCGCTGCCGCCACCGCCGCCGCCGGCCTGAGCCTCTGGTTCCGCGACGCCGCTGCGCTTTACCTCCACCGCAGCCCTCTTCCCGAAGAGAGACTTCCCCGCGCCCCACCCCCACGGCGGCTTGCTCTTCGCGACGGGAGCGGCGTTCTCCGCAGCCGCTGCCCCTCCTCCCCCGGCGTCTCCCGCCGTTGGGAGGTACTTGGCGCGTGCCGCGAGCGCGTCCAACGCGCCGCTCGAGTCCCGGCCGTCCCTTGCTCCCCCCGCGCCAAACGCGCGCGCCGCTTCTTCTCCGTCCGCGCCGCTGCCCCGCCTCCGGAAGGTGGCCGGCAGCTGCAGCTCCACGGGAGTGACGTTGGAGTTGAAGTGGGAGAAGTGAGAGGAAACCCGCGAGATAGCCGACGATGAGCTCAGGCTCCGGAGCAACAGCGTGTTGGGGCTCGGGAGCCCGGGGCTTCTAGCGCCGCCACGGAAGCCGTCCGTGCCCCCACGACCGTGCCCCCCGCTACTCCCGGGGCCCCCAGATCTGTCGCTCCCTCCGCGCACGGCGCGTGCATAGACCTGGATGAGCAGCCGGCAGAGACAAGAGGGTCAGGGACGGATGAAGCTTGGGCTATGTTGCTTAAGGACCACCAGCGTCGACCGAACCAACAACCCAGGTATCGCGAACAAATGGTGCCACAAGCGAAACGCCTCGTAGTGGCAGATCGGCACAAGAGCATGTCGCCCACGTCACGAGACCAAAAAAAACAACCACCATCAGTATCCGCTCCTACAGCGCCCATGACTAAATCGAATTCCCGCAGCCCAACCGCTTTGGCAGTTCTTGCTCTATGCCGAGCACTCACCCGCAGGTAGTTGGTGCAGATAGCCTGGGGCATGCGATCCACCAACGTTGGAGCCTGGTGCCTCCCCGCCCCCCCCTGCGCGGACCACGTGTACTCTACCCCCCAATCCCCGCTGTTGTCCTCGCTCCCGTCCCAACCCCGGCCCGCCTTCCCAAAGCCGCCGCCGCGACCGGCCGCGCCGTGCATCCCGTAGTCAGCGAAGTCGCCCATGCCCGAGTCGCTCGAGCCGCCTTCGGAACCACCCGCCTCGGCGCCGGCGGCGACAATGTCACCGAGGTGATGCACGGTCGCGCGTAGCTCCACAAGCGAGAATGCTTCTCTGAGGTCGCCAAAAGCACCATGTTCCGGGGGGGGGGCGACGGGGAGAGGGGGTGTGAAGGGAAAACGTTGCGGGAGCACAAAAATATTTCGCAAGCAGACACGTGGGGCAACGTGATGGGCCAGACTACAGTAGCCGTGCGGGTACCGCAACCAGCGAATGATTCCGGCAGCTAACTTAACATTCGCAGACGCACGGCGCCGACGTCACGTTGATGCGGAACAAAATTGTTCTGAAATGATAGCCACCACGTTGTCCACAAACACCCAGACACCCACCAAGCACACACCCCGCCATGGTATGCGCCAGCCACACGAAAAAGCGTCTCCTATCGCTCCACACGCACAAGACACATGTAGACCGATGCGCACCCCGCCAAATAAGCGGGGTAGGCGTGCAGATCTGCGTAGGTGGTGAGTCAACCCTCCCCCGCCCACGAAAATGACAGCAGGTGTAAGTTGCGCTTCCACCGAAACCCCTCGGGGTCATCCATCAAGCGCGGGCTGCTCCTCTATGGCCACCTCCCACGGAGACCCACCTATAAGACGGAAACGCCGAGCAAGCGATGCGCAGCATGTCTCCGAACACGCCCCTCGCCGACCGTTCCACGCCCCCGGCCGTAAACTGGTGCTGGCTGTTTATCTGCATGCGGAGCAGCCAGAGCGAGCTGTTCGGGCGGAGGAGCAGGGACGCGATCTCCAGCATCTTGAGGGTGTGCTGGAACATGGTGTAGGTGTCCTTCGTTGTGTCTGAGCCGAGCGGGGTGGTGCCGCTGCCTCCCTGGGCCGCCTTGCGGGCGTTCGTTCGGCTCTGCATCCGCAGGATCTGTTGTGAACGGGCAGAGCAAGATGGATTAGGAGGCGGTAGCGTTGGACCTGAAAGTGTGTGTATGACATAGTAGAGATTAAGAGAAAAGAGAGAGAAAGAGAGGGAGAGAGAAAGTTGTATGACCTGCCGTTGGAGGTGCTAGCCTCAAAGTCTACGTCGACCACGGCACATACCCAAAAAAAATTACGCGCCGTGCACCAAGACTCCGACCCATACACGCTCTTGCTCTTCCCCGAAGCGCCGCCGCCCTCGAAATTCCTACCACTCCAAACAGGCATTCATGTTGACGACACTTCGCCGCAGGCACCAACAAGACTCAAGTGAGAAAGGACCAGCATGGTTGAGGTCAGATCAACCATCACCTGGAAGTAGGACTTGAGGACGCTGACGCAGCTCTCTCGTTCGCCGAGACGCCACGTCGACATGCTGCACTCCAAGAACACCTGGTCTCGCCGACACGGTACACGTGACATGACGCGACGCGCACAAGGGATGTATGTCCACGAAACACGGCGTGAGTGCAACATGGAACACATTTTTTGAGATTTAACCCCAAGCCAAGCCAAGGTGATTGATGTGCACGTCGAAGCACTGTAGATTGGTCGGTAATCAGCTAGTGCAAGCTTTGTGTGCTTGAGAGAGTATCGGCAATCGGCTTATCGAGCTGGTCAAGGCGCGAACAACGATCAGCACGAAATGTGGCACCAACGTTGCCCTGTCAGCAATAGCCAAAGAAAGAGGACGCACGACATCCCCCAAAGTAAAACAGCATGCCTTCTGTTCTACGCGCTTCTCGTTTGCCGCCCGACATTCGAAACCGTTGAAGGGTTACAGCAGAAGGACCACTACACGCTCACCTTAGTGTTGCAAGGATTGAGGCGCTTTTCCATCACTTGCAGCCCCTTGACCAGCCTTGAGTTTGCCGCGCGCAGTTCGTTCTTCGAGCGGTACAGGTCCGCCCTCTTGCTTATCAAGGTCTTCGATACGTCCATTCCACCACAAGCAAAGCACACCACGGGACCGCGGGGAGGGCGTTAGCGCAAACATGGGGGGGGCAGTCATTCCAAACATACACGCAAAATTGCTGTACTGTTCAACCCTAAAGCTTATTTGTCCTTCTGTCAACAACATCCCAGCATACGCCTGCCCCCGCGAGGGCACGACAGAGTAAGAACGTTAGAACGCACGGTTGTCACCCCGATTGCACAACCAAACAACGTCCGCAGCAACTCCACCCGCATAAACACACACATACGGGAGATACCTTGCCCGCAGAAAAAAAACATGAGCACTCAGCAAAAATCGCGTCGCGGATTGTAGAGGGCCTTTGTAGACGTGCTCACCTCGAGCCACTCAACCATCCTCTGCCCGTGCATCGCCCTCCCCTTCCCCTTGGAAAGGGTCAACGCCCCTGCAAACGAGCCCCTGGCATCCGTGGGCGGCGCCGTCGCCCCCGTGGTCGTGTTGTCTTGCTCTACGCTCACCCGAAGGCAGAGAAGATGGCACGCCCGGGGGTACCTGGAAGAGAAACACACACACGCAAGCACACGGTCCGCAAACATGTCCCTCCACAAAATCACGACCAGGGCACCCGCAGCAAAGCACCGCCTTGCTTCACACGGACGCTGGGCGCAACAAACCCGAGGGGTTGGGAGTTACGCAAGTTCCCGGCTACATCATTCGCAGCTGACCCATTCATTCAGCAGAGACATTTATGCAACTGACGAGAGAGCGTTGACATCATATGCCCGAGTTGCGGTGCGTAGGTGCGAACTGTATACAGGTGGCTCCGACCCTGCTCGCGATGTAGCGCTCACTTGACGATGGTGACGTCGGGACCAGCCCTGCCCCCCCTGAGCAGCCTCCCCACCACGCGGCACTTATCAGGGACGCCTGTCAGCCCCTGTCTGGCGTCGGACGCACCCCTGCAACGAGACAGACCCAAGGATAGAATAGGAGGTCGGGGTTGTTGCCTAACCGCTCATCGGCACCGTACCCCTCGGCACGCACCAAACCAGACGCAAACTTGACGCTCTCTGCTGCTCCTAAACCAAGGGTATCATTCCGGCGGCCAAAAGACGGCGCGGTGCCTATCATGTCGACCCAGCACCAGCACCCCTCGGCAAGACGACAACAAACGCCGGGCTGAGGTACACAAGGCCAACTCCTGCGGTGTACTCACGGTTGATGCTTGCCCCCCTGTGGGGCCCCCCTCAGCAGCGCCCTCAGTCCTTCGGCAATGTTGGCGCGTTTCACGTCCCGCGCGTTGTTGGGCGATGGCTCTCCGGTCCTTCCCGTTCCGGGTCCCACCAGGCCAAGCTCAAGATCCCAGTCCGTGTCGGCGTCATCAGAACCGGCCGTAGAGCTGCGAAACGACCAGACGAACAGCAGCGACAAACGACGCCAGGTGGTAAGCCGCAGAGAAGGAGTGTTGAGCTCGAATCCGCCACGCAAACAGCGAAAAAAAATGTGCTTGAATGGTGATTCGGCAAAACGTCTCCAAATCGTGTGTCTGAAAAGGGTTGAGGGCAAAAGCTCAACGCAACACCCGTTTTGGTGACACCCGAAAACACGAGAAAGCAGCAATGTCACATCCTCATTCACCGAGCCCTTCGTCCGTACCACATCGTACAGGACTTGGTGCGAAACTACTGCACAACCGCAACGCATCAAACATGAACGAGTAGAGCTCCAAACACAGCTGAGCGTCGTTCTCAAGACTACCAAGACCGGCCATTTCACCGCCGTCATTCTCGCTCGTAGCACCCCCTTCTCGTGACCCTTTTCACTTACCCGCTTCCTGCGGCTTGAGCGGCCTCGCCAAACACCCCAGCCCCCGTGCTGACAGGAGACGGCTCCGCACCCCCTCCGCCCGAGCCACCTCGCCGCCCTCCGGCGGGCCCACCCCCCCCGCTTCGATCCAGTCGGATGGATAGATCGCTGTACTCCAACTCTTCCAGGCCCATTTCCTGAATACGTAGTTGGCAGAGCCAGGAGAGCGGCAGCATTACGAGGAGTCGGGAAAATTATCGTGAGCATTCGTTCTGATTCCTACAGAAGCGCGAAGATCGTTCAGATTTCAGACCTAAACAACAACAGAGAGCAAGCAGAATTGTGCATGAACTGCTGTGTCCTATGGACGAACAAACACGCGTCTACGGACGAACAAACACGCAAATACATTGGAAGGCTTTGTTGGCAAAGGTACGTGGGCCCACCGACGACACCAGCGCCACGTCATACCCTGTATCGTGGGCAAGCGACGCGATGGTCTTGAAGGCAACACCGTACACAACGATTTCTAACCAACAACAAAAAACACTTCCAACACTCCACAAAAAAAGCATGCTATACGCAAAAACAAACACAAAGGGGGTCCAACTGTGGTGGTCGGCCTTTGCCTCAAACACATACATACTACCCTCACCGTGTCCCAGTCATCCTCTCCATCCTCGCCGTCGTCTTCGAAGCCCTCGTTCTCCGCCTCCGAAGGCGCTTCACCTTCCCCGTCCTCGCCCTCATCCTCGTAAGCCCGAAGCCCGAAAGCAGACTGCGATGGCGACACCACCTCCTGCCGAGGAGGGGGGGGCAAGTCTCCCGACCCATCCAGGTTGCTCATCTGCACCGGCCCCTCCGAGTCATCCTGCTTGATCGAGAAGGTCAGGTTCATTTCAGCACGAGTTCGTGGTGTACACAAGACAAAAGAGGCAGGATAGAGAAAAGCAAGAGTTTTGCGTCAACGCGAGCATCCATCGGCGAAGATGAGGTAGCACGCCTTGTACCCGGTGTACTGCTGTACGGTACGCTACTTACAGAGGCTGACGAGGACGACCTCTTCGGGGGGAAGGGGGTGTACTCATAGTCGTGCATGCCGTAGTCGTTAGACCATTGACCTCGCATCCCTACAAAGCCGGGACGGAGCACGCCGGGTTCTCACCGGACCAGGCTCTCACATCACCAAGCGCCAAGCGCCGTGAGATATTCGGCGAGTCGCATGAAGGGTGCGCTGCATCCTGCTAAGGGTTTTCGGCATCTTGTGCTTACTTCCTTGCGTACGGATGACAGCTGCGTATGAATTAATTTACTTTCTGGTGCTTTCACTTCCAGAGACAATTGTAAGCACTGTGTAACTGCCTCGAGGGTGCTTGACCATTTTAACACAACGTGGTGCGATCATCCCCCTTGCGCGGAGCGAGGGTTCTCCACCCCGCACAACATGATCTACTCGACCACCATTATGGTTACCGCCAAAAAAAAAAAAACGGAGGTAAAAAAAAAAACGGTAACCTGGTTGCCGAGTTCACGAAGTGAAGTGGTTTGTTTTACAACGTCGTTGCCAAGCGACGAAAACCCAACCCCGATGGCAAACACCGAGGGGGACGTGGGGGAGCCTTCAATTCAGAAGGGCATCCCACTCTAGAATATCGACTTCGCAGCACCACAGGCCGAGAAATTGAACTTCGTGGTACGACCCGCCGACCAAAGCTTGCTCACGCGCCCGTTGAACCCACCTCAGCTTGAGGATCCACAAACGACAGAAAGCTTGCGCCCTTCGGCTTATGCTGGTGCTGGTGCGAGTGATGCTGGTGGTTTATGGAACTACTGGAGCAATCGTGCTTCGTGCGCGATAGCTTCCGCCCGCTGCCGCTGGCGCGTGCGCGCACGCGGTTCTCGCTACGCTCGCCGCTCGCGCGGTCCTGCGCGCCAGTGTGGCCGGCGGTGGTGCTGGCGCGTAGAGTTGCCGGCTGTGGCGCGGGTCTCTCTCCTGTCGACAACTTGAGCCACTTCGTGTTCGCCTGTTGCGACAAAACAAGTGCATGCCATCGTAGCTGAGTGTCAGTGTTGTGTTGATCGTGGGAGGACCCTTGTTTTGAAGCCAAAACGGCTGCCGTACCTGAGAGGAAATGTTGCGTTCTTTACTGGAGCACAATGGATTGTCGAGTATTCCGGAATGAAGCACATTGATTCTCTCGTTTTCGGTCACCGACTTGCCTGATGCAGACCAGCGGATATGACTAGAGGTACGTCAACAATCGACTATCCTGGGCCCAAAAAAAGCACTGCTGTTATTAATGATGGAAAAAAAAAACTTCCATGTCTTCCTACAACGCCGCATCGTGCTTGTTGTAGTAAACCTTGTTTTCTTGTTCTCTACGCCTCCCTTCACGTGCTCAACATCTTAACCTGCCGTATCGTGCCTCTGGCTGTCACCACTTTTGTCACTTGGTGGAGCTGGGTGTGAAAGCAACACTCTCAACCACATACAACAGTAGGTCTTTTTTTCGCTCCTACAACGCTGTCGAAGTGCTTTCGCCCAAGACGAGTGAGAACCGACACCCAAAGAGTTGCTCGATGAGTTCGAACAACCTGGAGACAGGTACCTACTCGATGAGTTCGAACAACCTGGAGACAGGTACCTATTCGGCATTCAACGTGGCTTTCGAACAGCTGCTTTCTTCATCATGCGCCTGACAGAGGCATTGTTCGCTCCGTGCCTCGTTGCATCATGTTCTATCTTTTAACTTAGATTCTGGGAAATACAACCACGGTGCAAGCTTGCTTGTGGGCTTAACGTAAAGGGGTGTGGCGGTCGTCCTGATCCAGAGTACTGCTGCTGCATGTTTTTTCTTTTTTCGCATCGCCCAGACTGCAGTGCATGTCTAAAGTCTTAAGTCAAACCGCTTCTTGTGGTATGAACACGAGCCTGAACTTCTAGTGAATCCCCGACATCTGTTATTCTAAACTGCGCCCCTCGTCTGCATCACAGCAGTACAGCTGTCGTCCGTATTCCACAACTGCAGATGTTTACGTCATATCTCACGTTGCTAGTCACGCACAACGTTCTAACTCTATTTACAATGACGAAGAAAAGATTTCGTGGTACAACACCAAATGTACGTACGAATGTACATCCAACGGTACACCGATGAACTGCTGTGTTTTTGTACACGGAGCGAAGACCCCTCAACAGGAAGAAGCGTCTCCTGACATTGTTGATAAAACAGCACACTTTTGACAAATTGGTGAACGAGGCTGTTCATCAAATATTCCAAACAACAGCAAACACAGCAAACGTCCGTGTACTTTATGTACAGCAGGTGCTTGGCAGGACCGCCTACGCGGGATTTTAAGAGTATCTAGAAAAAGAATAGGGAGGGGGCCCGCAGACCCTAACCCTAACCGTAACCTCAAAGCACGGATTGAATCCTATATTATCCTATGTATATGTTCACTTAGTCGATATTGCTGCGTAGACTACTTGCTTGGCAACACAAAGAAAAATCCCCAACGCGAAGTTCTTTGTTGCCAGCCCTGTACAAGTAACGGGGATGCAAAGCACCACAGGCAACGCCGAGAACCGTCTAGGCAATTGTCCAGGGCAAACGCAAGGCCAGCAACACCCGTGTTAAGACTCCTCCTGAAACACCTCACTCACATGGCGTCTCTCGTTGGCGTCAGTAGTGCTCCCCACCCCCAGGGCGCGAGGTTGCGGCGCGGGCACCTCGGAATCTGTCGGGCTGTCGCACTCCTCCCAAGGTCTCCCTGCTGCCGCGGCCAACGACGCGGGTGCCCCCCCGGCCGCAGCTGTCAGGGGTCTGCTGGCGGCAGCGTCCTTCGCGTCTCGATCTCTGCGCCTGTGCTTTGGCCTGGCGGCGGTGCTGCTGCTGCTGCTAACACGCTCGCCTCCTCTTGCTCCTGCGCCTCCTCTTCCTTGTGACGACCTTGCGGTCGATTGCTCTGCTGGGTGCGAGCCCCTCCGGGGGCCGCCTGCGGAGCGGCTGCCCGCCTCGCGGCGGCTGGAGGGCGCTCTGCCGCCAGCGCCGCCGTCCTCCCTGCCGCGCTGGGACGGCGCTCTCCCGTCGCCGCCGTGACGGTCGGCTGTACGGGCCCTGTTGCCCCCGCTGCCGCGATGGTCTGGTCGGTGTCGTCTGCTGGAGGAGGATGCGGATGCTCTTGCTGCCGCTGCCTCTGTTCCTGTGGGGCCAACTGATGAACCGCCGCTGCCGCCACCACCGCTGCGAGACGCCGGGACCACCGCCGTCGGCCTTGATGCCGCCAAGGAGCGACGACCGGCAGGAGCAGACTCCACAGCCCTCGTCGAGGTCGTCACCACGGTGGGCGGCGGAGGCTCGGGACGGTGCGGATGCGGAGGGTCCTCCCCAGCAATCCGCCTTAGTGCCGCCGAACATCGCGATGCCGGGGAAGTTGGCTCTCCAGCGCCAACAGCAGCAGCAGTAGGAGCGGGGCGGTCGAACTCTTGCGACCAGTCCTCGGTGTCCGCGCTGCGGTCAGCCGAAACGCCAATGACCGCGGATTGTGTCATGGTGCTCAGTTGGCGCTGAGTTTGGGGCCTGCTGCTGCTGCCAGCTTGAGACATCTCGCCTCGTCCTCCTTTACCTGCTGTCGTTGATGCAAAAACGCGACCGCTGTGGTTCCTTTTTTCTCTAGTGTTCGAGCGTGCAACGGCAACGCAACGCTCTGCGCCACACAGGACCCCTAACTTACCCGGGATTCATCCCCCCACGTACCTCCCGCGTCCGCAACGTCTGCACTCCACTTTTGCGGACACGCGCGACGCTCGAACTGCACCTCAACAGAGAACACATAGTATCCGAGTAAAACGAAAACACCCCGCGCTTGAGGACAAACCCCCACCCACCCTCATGCAATGCAGAATGCGTACCCCCTCTACACGAAAGGAAAATGCACTAGCTAGCACCCGACATCTCCCTCCAGCGTCGAATACGCATGCATCACGAACGTGCGTCGTCTCACACAAGGGAACGCGCGATTTTGATGCACGTATGGCCGTCCCTTCATGCTCTACATCACCACTGCGGTGGGATTCCACGCAGCGTAGGGTGTGTCCTGGTGTTGAGGTAAGGTTTTTACTGCTGCCGATCTGCCGAGAGTAGGGGCGACAGAGGAAAGGATCTTCCTATCTGGTTGCCTCTCTCTCCACGACCAGCGCCACGAAGAGAGAGAGAGAGCCCCGTGGCGTAGCTGTTCCACCGGTGCCCCGTGTACGTGTCTGTTGGTGCGCATGACGTGGCATGCATGCCCCTAGTCGCTGTGTCTTGCTGTGCGAGAGGATACGCACCGGCGGCGGCGGCAGTCGGGTGCAGTTACCGTTGGACTTTTAGCGGAGATCAGACTATTGCTCACAGGAGTCCATCCCACCTGCGGGGCGGAGACCTCGAAGATGTTTGATTTTGGTTTGAACAACTCACAGCTGGGTGCTGGTTGTAACGTCCTTCCAGCAAGGAGGATTTCAGCGACCACGCGAGCACTCGCCTGCTCCATAGACATCTGTGGTAGAGCCTCTCTGGGGCAACATGGATGTCAGGGACCTCGTCATGTCGCGTGTCGCGTGTGTGACACCCTCCTGGATCTTTTCTCTCCCTCTACAGCAAAAGACTCCTTCCATGTCGACTTTGTGTAGAGCATTCGGCGCGAGTGTAAGCACAATACAGGGTAGGGCGGCGGGAATACAACACGGTGTGGGAAGACAAGAACCCTGCGCAGTACGTACAAGCAGCGGGGCCGTTTCGTTTTGTACCTTGCATGAAGAGGTGCCGATACATCTAACTGTAGGTCCGGTCCCTTGGTGCACGTCGTACATAAATTCACCGAACACCCACTATGAAACAACCACCACATTCCAGTGCATAGACTAATAACCGTAAGAGTGCCTCGGGTCCGCCGATGGCAGTGGAAAATGTTATAGATGGATCTTGGTTGTGGTCAGGTGTTGCTTCAGGGTACGTAGACGAGAGGGCTCGAGACGCGAGAGACACCGCTCTATGTTTCCTGCGGCGCGCGCAAAAAATCTCGTTCTTTCAACACACATGCCAGGTAAAGCTTTGGATCTCCCAGCAGATTCCTCACCAGTTTCCCCCCAGATTACTCCTCATCCCCATCACCGGATATTGGACGAGAGAACTGCCATGCACGTCATACCAGCTGGTAAACGTCACTGAGGTCCAGAGGCGTACTACCCGCTTAATTCGCATTCGCTGCTGGTGCTGTACGTTTTTTTTTTTTTGTCAGGCTGTGATGGAATGGGGAACGCTCACGAACAAACTACCGTTGGTCGGAAGCAGCAGGTGAACGGCCGTAAGCTACATGTCCCCTGTCGGTTGTTGAATGCTATTAACTGTCTATGTACCGTGCGTTCAGAGGATCGCTTTTTGACACTGCCTTTGAAAGGATTCTTCTAGTGTTCGCTTTGAGAGCTAACCCACCTTCGTTTGATCGCTCCGGCAGTGAATGAGAGGAACTTCAGGCCAAGTGCCCGGTACTGTACCCCAACATCCGAGTGCCTCTCTCAAACAAGTCGTGCTGCACACTGCACACACCGCGCCAAGATCGCCATGTCTAGGCGGCACAAAAATACTGCTGTTGTAGGTCCACGTAACTCCCGAGCAACATGCTGCCACGGGCCCAGCGCCTTACGTAGAATCGCACCCCGCGAGAAGAAGGGGTCGCTGCCCATCACCGCCAGTGTATATGGTCATGGCACAACCCCTGTTGCCCCTGGTGCAACTCCTGCACAGGTCGAACTCATCTTCCCCCCCGCCAGAGCGAGCCACCCGGCTCCGCAGGCCCCGAGAGAAAACGGCGCAGCGGCCTTGCATCATCCCGGCGCCTACGCCCACGTGCACGCCGACGCCAACACCGACAGTGACGCCGTCGAACACGCCCAAGCCTACCCCGTCAAGGAAGGCCCCGCATCTCGCCGGTACTCGCCGGGCATCGTCCTCGTCCTCTTCCACGTCGCCCGTGCGCCTCGAGACTACCACGGTCGCTTCTCGCCCCCCCCCCGTCCCGGCGTTCCCGTCTCACGTATCGACCTCTCTCGACAAGGCAGCCGGGGCTAAGTCAGCTTGTCCTCCTGCTGCAGCTGGTGTTCCGGTCGCCCCCCCAGCTGCGCGGGTGCATGGGGCGGACAAAGGAGATGTAAGCCTATCGCGTGTTCCGAAGGATCTGGCGGGACCGCTTGGTGGGCAAGGGGCGTCGTCACGTGATGGGCTGGGGGTCGTCGGGAAGGTGGGGCACGCAGGGGGTGTTGCCGGTGCTGCGGGAGCCTCTAGACACCCCGGGCCAGGGCGTCCGCGGCAGGGTGATGCCAATCTACCGACGGCGCCGTCAATCGAGTCAGAGGTGAGGCTGCGGAGCTTTCAGGCTGCTTGTGTGACTTGGCACGCTGGTCGACACGGCTGCAGATATGGCGTGGAGAAAGTCGACCGATTATTGACCGATTCAGCTGAACACGCCGGATGTGTCGGGCTAGGCGGTGGGGTATGTGGGCTTTTGCGGGTGACCATGTTTGTCTGTCCGCGAAGTGTACCCGAGTGGTGTTGTGTGGTGTGAGGTGATATGCGACTGAGTAGCCTCATGGCATTCCGCTCGGGCACGAAACCGTTTGATACAACTTGTCTTTTTTTTTACATTTTGATTTTGCGTTGGACTGTTGTCCCTCAGGGTGTTTGCTGCCTCGTGCCCCACGTTTGCCTCATTTGAGACTCTCACCCCTGCCTGTCCTCGCTGCGACAACATGAAACACATTACACACACGTACTTCTGCCTTTTCCCGGAGAGTATCCTAGTCTCCCCCATGACGCTTCCTCACGGAATCGCCTTTAGAGGCGTTTCCTGTTTCTCACGGTACTGAAACTGACGTCTTTTCATTCGTCAGCCGGTTAGCGTGGTCGATGCTAACAACGAAGATTTAACTCACACACACACAGGTCACAGCGATGTTCGATGAGTCGCAAGGGACGCTGCGACTGTCCCGCGATAGCCTAGGCGACGAGAGAGTGCCCTCGCTGTCTCTGGAGAGGCTAAAGAATTCCTACCGGACGAGGAGAGGCGGCGTTCGCTCTTGGACAACCGCTGGCATGTCCAACGAAGGTGGCTCTTGACTGACGTCGGTCGCTGTTGGTTAGAGGGCTGGGGAAGGAAAGACGCTGGCGTATCACCACGTTTCGTGTCAGGTTTGGGGCAAGGGCGCCGGGCGTTGGTTTTGGGCGAAACCCATGAACGCCAGTCATGTTTGTTCGCATCCTATCTGTACATGGCATCTCACACACATGAGCCCCGTACAAGCAAGAGCCCAGCTCCTTTCCTCGGTGGTACTGCTGTTGGTGTGAATCTTTGTGCACTCACGCTGATCTCCCCTACTTGGCGCCCAGGCCATGGAAAACCGGTACCCACTGCCCTCGTGGAGGTGGAGCACGGTCGTTTGGGGGTCCTTTCCTCCACCGACGCGTATTTGTTCCATTTCAAGGAGAGTAGACCGCCATCGCCGTGCGGCGGCGGCGGCGGCAGCAGCAGCAGCAGCGTGGTAGCACATCTAGCCGGCGTCGATGAGGCCGGCGATGAAAGCGACCCAGAACTGCAGCTGGTGTATGTTTGGATTGGCCGAGACGCTGGGGTGGAGGCATGCGCCGCAGCACGGGCGCAGGTTAGTGAAGGGCGTTGTTTTTGTGGTTGGCTAGTGGCTCTCCAGGTGGTCATGAGAGTGAGTAGGGCGGGGGGGGCTGGACTGACTGGGAAGACCAATGTTTTGCCGCCACGTCCTACTCTGCGTACGCCGGGTGGGCCAAGAGCTCGTTTCCAAGCTTGCCGTTACGCTACTGTGGAATATCAAACTGTTTAGCACCTCTTCCAGCAGGCACCACTATGTGCGCGCTGCGTTTTGAGAGAGAAGCTTGTTACAACCTTTCCGTATTCATGAGCTACTCGCTTGCATGATTGCTTGCCAGGGAAAACGGCTGCTGAAGGACCAACCACCTACGACCCCGTCGACGCCGCTCCTGGAGGTGGAACAGGGGCAGGAGCCGGCCTTGTTTCTCGCACTCTTCTCGTACATGTTGCCTCCCCTGGCAGTTGTTGTGCTTCAAGGCCACAACCTGACGCCGGACGTCAGGCAAGATTTTGTAGCGCGTACAATACTCCTTGACAAACGCACCGGATGATGGTCGGAATTTGTGTTGGGGCTATTGGTTGTGACAAGAAAGCATGACAAGACGCTCAAAAGGCAAGCATGACTGCTTGACCTCTCCCGTCCCCCTCTGTCCGCGGCTTTCTTATTTTGACAGGGTGCTAGAGCTGCAGGAGAGCCCATGCCTCCAGGGATCGGGCGTAGTCATCGCCGTGGAGGGGCCGTGTTCAGCGTCCCTTCTCGCGAAACACGGGCCCTTACCGGACCGCAGCTACATCTGCCTTGTCCGCCCACGTAGCCGTAGGGTCGGCAGCGCCAACGAAAAAGGCGGCGTTGACTTCTGTGGGGGTGAAACGGTGGGCACCTTCGATGAAGGCTACTACTGGCACGGTGTCGGGGAGAATGCTGCTGTGGAAGGGGTGCGTTCGAAGTTTGGGAACGAGATTTGTGAGGGGGGGGGGGGGGGG